TCATGATTTAAAATGTCAAAAGCCTTAGTGAAGTCCAAAAGAATCAACATTGTTGACCTTCCCTCATCAAGAGACTTAAAGACGTCATCAGTAAGGTTCAGCAGCACAGCTATAGTGTTTTCTGAAACCCGATTGTCTGTCAGGTAGAATATTATTCTCATTCAAGTGGCCACAAAGCTGTTCAACAATCACTCTCTCAAGTACCTTGGACAACGCAGGGAGTATTGTCACAGGCCGTAAATCCTTGAGAATCTTTACAGATTTTGACTTTGGCATTGGAGTTACAAGACCATACTTCCAGGCAGATGGAAATACAGACTCTCCGAGACTGACATTAAATATGTGACACAAAACGTCAAGTATACGAGGACAGCACAATCTTATCATATCTAAAAAAACCCATCAGAACCAATATCCCCTGATTTTAAGGATGATAACAAATTATCAATTTTATTAGCTGAGACAGGCTCAAACGTCAAGTCACCATTCACACTACGCATCCTATTGTCACGATAATAACTCAACAAATCCTGATTAGGGGGAACCAGAACATTTTGAGCAGAATCAACAAAAAATTTATTGACCATTTCAGGATCAGTTAGGCTACCCGGCAAAACAGCAGAAGATGAATAACAACATTGTATCTTTTTAAGCGCTTTCATAAGTTACGAGAGTCACTTGTGTTATAGTTGTGTTCATGAAAAACACGCTTTTAGTACGGATGGCATTCGTAATCAAGTTGCGACGATTCTTGTAACAAACAAAGTGTGCTTGTTCACGTGTACGTTTATATTTCTTAAACGCAACATTTTTTACTTTTAGCATCCTTTTAATATTCCAAGGTAAAGAGTTTTTCTTTACAACCCGAGTGACAATAAGGGCATAAACATCAAATAAAACTAATATTTTCCCATTAAAATAATTAACTTTCTCATCAATTAACTCAAAAATTGTTTCGCAATTCATCCTGTTCAAATCATTATTAAAATCCTCGATATTAATATTATGTAAGTCAGGATAGGTAATCGTTTTAAGAGAAGGAATGTTTTTTTCATTCATAAGTGTGCAGTTAACCAAAAAGTGATCCGAAAATCCAAGATCATTAGTATCATTCTGAGCCACCAAAAGACCCTCCGATACAAAAACCAGATCAATTAATGATTCAGAGTCACCCGAAACTCTAGAGGGTTGGACAACAACCTGAGACAAGTTAAACGCTTGAAAAGCCGCCCACATCAACAATGTGGTCAACGGTAGGGTAAACATGGAACAGCGAATCACAAGATGCTTCAAGAAACTGATTTAAATCCACAGAGGGTAGTTTATAAAAAACACCAAGTGCAACTTTAACACCACGAAGAGTTAATCCCACCCATAGCTGCTCAATTCTAGTCCCATTCTGTACATCTATCATACAACATTCATGATAATTTCTAACATAAACTCCAACATCTCCTACCCTAGTCGGCCTATCAATTTGAAAGAGGTTGAAACCATATATATCAACCACATCGTCCCCAACGTTACCACTCAACCAAATCTCCGACATTGCAAAACAATCGGTAGCAGACCCCAGAAGGTAACCCCTTAATTCACCGAAGTGTGCCAGTAGCGATCTGACAAGTAAGTGTTCAACATGAAAACCAATCATTCTATTAAGAAAAAATCATAAAATAATATTTAAAAGAAAATATACTTATACAGGATGTCCCGCAACGATTGTACAATACTGCATCAGCGTATTCTCTGATCGAAAACAGACAAGAAAAGTCTAATAAACATAGTTCCGAAAATGGACCAATTTCGAGATATCCAAAGTTTTAGTTTCATAAGCTGACCTATTGTAAACATCATTAATTCTAACGATTTAGATGCAGTAATTATATGATTACCATGGTAACGATGGTTAAGATAAAGTTTAATAAATAATAAGATAATATTAAGTTAATTAATACAGTTCATTAATAATTTAACAAAACAAGTAACAAAGATTGTCGAAGAAAATCGTTCAACCAGCATAAAAACAACGAATATTTAACAAATTGGAAAAGATTCATGTCATAATAAATGTTCAATATGCGCACCATTTACTTCTAAACACAAACGGATACGTTTTCTAAATGAACTTCTAATGCGTTCAAAGATACCAGGAATTTGTTTTACTGTGTCAAATGCGTTACTAATTTTATTCTTCAAATCCTGCACATTTTGAACGTCTTCAGAATAAACAATTTGTTTTAAATGTCCCCAAAACCAAAAATCTAACGGATTTAAATCTGGTGAACGAGGTGGCCATCCTCGGCCAATCCACTTATTGCCAAATCTGTTATTTAAGTATGCTCGAGTAGCGCGTGCATAATCGTGCATAAAGTAGCAATCTTCTAGAATTTGTTGAGGTAATTCATCAAATGCCTCTGTAAGGTCATTTTGTAAAAAATGTATGTAGGCATCGGCTGTCAATCTCTTTGGAAGAAAAAATGGACCTAATAACTGATCACCTATAACTCCAGCCCATACATTAACACTGAATCGCCACTGATGATGAGTTTCTAGTATTGCATGGGGATTTTCATCGCTCCAAACGTGCGCATTATGAATATTAAAAATTCCGCTTTGAGTAAATGTTGCTTCATCCGTAAATACAATGTTTATGGGAAAGTCGACGTTTACTACCTCTTCCTGTATGGCCCACCTACAAAAAATCTCTCTTTTTTCGCCATCATTTTCTGTTAGAGCTTGAACGGTGTTGTAATGATAAGGATAAAGCAACTGCTCCCTTAAAATGCGGTGAACGGTTGTTTTGTTAATGTTTTCTTGTGCAGAAATTCTTCTAATGCTGGTTGAGGCATTTTCATCGACTCTTCTCAAAACTGCTTCTTCTAATTCCACCGGCCTTGTGTAATGTCTCTCCGTGGAATGGCTGTGGGTTACGCTTCCCGTTTCTTTTAATCTGAGAAATAGTCTGCTAAAGGTGTGACTATTAGGCAATCGTCTGTTCGGGAACCTTTGCGCGTAATGACGAGCTGCTAACGACGCATTTCCATCAGCTAGTCCGTAACAATACACCATATCCGCCATCTCTTCCTTGGAGTAATTAATAGGAGCCATACTTAATAGTTTTATTAAATTAAATAGTAAAATAATAATTTCGTGAAGTATTATTATTTTTTTTTGATTAGACAACTTATCGTAATCATAGTAACGACTTAATTATTATAAAAACAAATTTAAATTCATGATGTTAACAATATCAATTTATGAAACTAAATCTTTGAATATCTCGAAAATGGTCCATTTTCGGACCTATGTTTATTAGGCTTTTTTTGTTTATTTTTGATCATAGAATGCGCTGATGCAGTTTTGTACAATCGTTGCGGGACATCCTGTATACCATAAAATAACAAAACTTTCTTGGTTCTTGGCACCTTTGAACTTGGTTCAAATTGAAACAGAAAATACTCCAAATGAGAAAGTTCACTTTAAACTACACCCAAAAAACTCAATTAATTTTATTAATCAATCTAATTCGCAAAGTACGTATTTTAATCACTGCAATACTTGATAATCAACAAAGTTATCACAAAATGAAACTACAAAACCAGTACTTAAAGAGAAATTTAAAAACTAAATACAATACTATAAAAAGGAAAAACAAAAGAAAAAAAAGCAAAGGAAAAAATATGTATACCGCTAGTATAAAAAGTTATAGTATGCCAAATTTCCTACAACTTTTGTCTAAGGAAGAACTACGTATATCGGCACCTTAATGCCATTTATGTACTATATTGCTTACGTGGGACATCCTGTATATAGCCACTACTATGTAGCTAGTTTTGCATAGGTGAATTGTGCGTTTGTACATTAAAAAGTAAAGTCCTCACATTGCTCATTAATGTTTTTATTTGAGGTGGCGCTGATAGTTTGCGAAATATGCGAAATATGATGATACTAGGTGAAACTAGGTATTGAATTGTTTTCTTATTTTGTTGTGATTGCCAATGCTCAGTTATACGAGGAACTTACAGCTTTTCAATAAACTCATTTGAGTTTCCAAAAGATTAATGCTTGTAGTTATCCCTTGCACATTCTGATAATATAGTATAGCTGAGTTATTATTAATACTAACGTTTTTGTATATATTTTTGTGAGGCGGAATAAAAAATGATTGATCTGTGATTTGTGAGACGTACATTTTCTGGAAATATAAGACGCGTATGTGCGGTAGATAATATTGGTGTAAAGAAATATAATTGATTGCTCAAGATAAATCAGAAAGATAGAACGACGACTTGTAGAGAAATTACATTAAAGAAAAGTAAAATTGCTTAATATATGAAGAACGGGAAGAAGAAAAGATTTGGTAAGTTATTATGATATAATATCATTATTCTTATTAAGTTATTGTTGCAAATTTTTGCTTACCATGAGATAGTTCTGGCATGAAATTTATTAACATTCCGGCAGAAAAAGATCAATACAATAGAACTAAGGAATAATGTGTGAGGTTCCAAAGTAGATAGGTAGATCCTGAGCATCCAAACCTCACGAGAAGTTCTGCTAAAGACATCTTTTGTTGAAACAAAAGGTTTGATGAAACAAGGTAAAGTCTTCTATCAAAACTTAATGAAATTTTAATAATTCTTTAAAAAAGTGAGTTAATTAAGCCATTTCCTTAATTAGTAAGACAACAAATGTCTCTATTCTCTAGAAAATTATAACTGTATATTAAAAAATTGATTTCATGCGAATCTTACTGTGACAATGAACATTACATTTCTAAGATCTGACGGTGAATCGATATTTTGTAGACATAGAGGCGCCAGCTTCAGCATCCGTTTATCCTACTTTCGTTTATACTATACAAAAAAATATCAATAAACATTATCAAGCATATCCAATCAAAAATAAACTCCTTTGAACACTTAATTCAATAAATTTTTATTCAAAACCATTTTTCAAAATCTTCCAACTTTTATTATTTTTTTTGTTGTAAAACTTACCGGTTTCTTATTTCCTTTTCGATCAATTTTGCTTCTTTCGGTTTACACACATTACAAAACGATAAAAATATTACTAAATTACACATTAAATAAAACATATTTGAATAATCTAAATACAAGCGGAACCGTTTTAGGGATGAAACTTTCAAATCTGTGTGGACAATTTTGAGCGTGAGGATGTAGAAAGAAGAACGAGGCGTGCGCAATCTATGGTTTATTTAACAACCGGTCCGATATGTTTGGAAAATGATAACTAAATTGATCCAAACGATAAAAACTGCTAAATAAATTGATATCTACCATATTATGAATTTTCATTATTATACTAAAAGCAATCAATCGAACGAGCCTAAGTCAAAATTATTATTATAAAAGAAAATAAAACAAATTAATTAATGCAGATTAAATTTATTAATATTTTATATTTTATTTGTTAGTATTGTTATTATTAATAAAATTGATTCAATAAATCTTTTTAAATTTAGAATCGTCCAATCGAAACAACCTAACCTATAAATGTCATTTATCATCCTTGTCATCTGTCAAAAATCGTGGCAAAAATACTTAAAAAAATCATTACAAAAAGAAAATTGCTTCTTATTTAAATGTTTTATTTAGAAAACAACGTAAATTTAAGGATATTGTGTTTGGCGTGAATAATCTACGTTAAAAAATGGATGTTTCAATGGAAGGGGCATCGAAAAAGGTGCCTCTTGAAAATTTAACCAAAGAGGAGCTAATAATCAAGTGTAAAAGTTTCCTATCGATAGCTCAAAAAGCAAAACAATCTAAAGATATACTTATTGAAGAAAATCGTCAACTTAAAGAAAATATGAAATTACAAGAAAATTGTAAACCCCAAGAAAATCAATTAAAAATTGACCCACAAACAGAGGCCATTATTGGAACACTAACCAAGCAAAAATTAGATCTTTTAACATCCCTGGAAGAATTAAAAAGTGAAAAGGTGTTTATTGAGGGTAAGTACAGCGATTTGGATACAGAAAACCAAGGATTGAAAAGACAGGTTGGTCGACTTAGCGAAGAAAACGAAAGTTTAATCGGACAATTAGATGGTTTGGAGAATCAAATTGGTTTTCTTAAAAAAATTGGATTGGAACAACAGGAGCAGTTGTTAGCTTTGGAGAAAAACAATATTTCAAATGGATTTGAATTGGAAGAGAATATAAAACAGAAAGAAAAAACTATTTCGGAATTAGGTGAGAAATATAGTTTAGATTTTGAGGTTAATTAAAAATTTTTTTAAGTAAAAACTAGAAACATTTGGGTTTAGATGTAAATCTCTTAAGTCAGCTAAACCTGAATATTTCTAGGTCTAGTGTTAGTTCTCGCGGTTTTAATTGTTATTCAGCCTTAGATTTATTTATTTATTAACATTTGGGATGCAAACAGGGTTGACCCCCCTACAAAGTATCCACAAAAGACCTAAACAAAAATTAATCACAAAATATTTGAGAGTACAACAAAAAAAATAGTATTGTAAATCAAAAAGAAAACAAAATTAAAATCAAAAGCAACACTCCAACAAAAAACCAAATAAAAACAAATCAAAAAGTATATAAAAATGATTGTTACTTATTTAATAATAAAACAAAGCATTAACAAAGTAGCAATGATCCCTCCTCACCTACGCCTCTCAAGAAACGTCTGAAAGCAGCCAAAGAAACATTAAAGATATCAATATTCCTGCAGTAACAGTCATGCATATTCATTATTCTAACAAGAGGAGAGTAAAGATGTGCTGAAGATAAGGATCTACTAATTCTAAACAAATATTCACCACATGTTTGATATGAGGGCACATAAAAACATAATTTTCTTCTTGACTAATTTATACAGGAATAGTAAAATGTAGCACAATCTCTTTCCCTTCAATGTCTGAAACTCTAGAGCAGGTGTGGCCAAAATTTTATCCCTTAGGGGCTACTTATTCTGTAAAATGTAGTCTGCTATGAATATGGGCAAACAATTTTTAGTTAGCATTTTTAAAATTTTTCATAGGTATTTTAATAAAAAATTAATAAGAATTTCAATTAAAAATATACAAAAAACAAATAATCATACAGGTGACTTATTAGTAGCCCGGCGGACGATAGTTGCTAAGCCGTTTGAGAAAGAAAAAAATGTTTTATACAAAAGTTGTTTTACTCACCATTTTCTATTACGTAAAATATATATTATATATATATTTTTACTTATACAGGATGCTCATTTTTCTTTAAATTCTAAATATCAGGAAAACTATTAAAGTTAGACATATGACATACTTATCATTAATTAAAAGGAACTTGATGAGCAATTCAACTAGCACACAATATACAAGCTGTTCCATTTAAAAAACTTAAGAAAAAGCCATTTGAAAAACATCAAAAGTAACTGAGGTTTTTAAACAACCTGTATAGTGTATCTAATATCTTTGAATACTATCATGTACCTACTGACTTTGACTATTGTCTGGCGTAGCTTCAAGGCAAAATCGGAAAAAATGTCGTTTGCAAAAAGATCCTGTAATAGGCACATTTTGGAAGAACAATTGAATATCTCAGGAACTATGAACGCTGTGAAATAATAACATATACGGTTGTATAATAGTATATTATTATATGAGCATATAATGAGGGCTATCATTCACTAAGGTTAAGTTTATGTCACGAGCGTAGCGAGTGGTGTAATTAACCTGAGTGAATAATAGCTTATTATACAGTGTGCCCATTATGTATGGAGTATAGTATATATGTATCTCGGTAAATGTTGACTTTATAAAAAAACATTTTATACAAAAGTTATTTAATATTTTATTTGCCACAATAACACTGCATTCAATTGTTTTTAATTCAGAAAACAAATGAGTAACGAATAACATTTGGATTTTTTTTAAATGGCTATGTGCCCTTTCGTTAGGCTCATTTGAAAGAGACTAGAAAAGTAGTCTCTATCAAAGTGATTTTTTATAAAGTTGATACATATCAAGATATATACTATATTCCATACATAATGGGCACCCTGTATGTGAGTAGAATACTATACTTTGTCCACAACTATTGAAATTGATTCCATAAATTTATGTTTTAAATAAATTTTTGAATAAAGTTTAAACGTCAATGTGACACAAATGCTATATTACTAACTGTAACCAACTTCACAACAATTTGTCAAAATTAAATGTCAATTTTATAAAACNAAAAACAAATAATCATACAGGTGACTTATTAGTAGCCCGGCGGACGATAGTTGCTAAGCCGTTTGAGAAAGAAAAAAATGTTTTATACAAAAGTTGTTTGACTCGCCATTTTCTATTACGCAAAATTATTTTTACTTATACAGGTGTTCCATTTAGGCGTAACGGAGAGTATGTAGATTTTGTTAAATGGAACACCTTATATATTTTATCATATTATGAATAGCATTAAATTTGTTTATACAACCGTATATGTTACTAACTCATATCATTCATAGTTCCTGAGATATTTAATTGTTTTTCCAAATTGTGTCCATTGCGGAATCTTTTTAAAAACGATGTAAAAACGACATTTTTTCCAATTTTTTCTTGAAAAATGATAGAATCCAAAGGTATTAGATACGCTATACAGGGTGTTCATAAAGCTTAGTTAGTTTTGATTTTTTTCCAATGGCTTTTTGATAAACTTTTTAAATGGAACACCTGTATATTGTGTGCTGGTTGAATTGCCCATCAAGTTACCTTCAATTAATGATAAGTATGTCATATATCTAACTTTAGTAGTTTTCCTGATATTTAGAATTTAAAGAATAATGTGTAATAAAATAATATTCTGTCTATTTTTATAACTTTTTTTTTGTTCTTCCTTTTATTATTTCATTAATATTTTATATTATAAAATAATTTTGCTGCCATATACCAAATTTTAATGCGACTTGGTACTCTATAAGATTTAAAAAGATGCAAGTTTTAAAACATGCAATTGTTCTCCCATATAATTGACGACTTTAGAGAAAATAAAAGGCACATGTTAAGAGATACCTGATACCTGATCTTTTATACAACATATTAATGCTTGTAGAAGAAAAAATCTATTAGCATTTTGAACAACTTCTAAATATTAATTAAATTAATACCTACTTGTTGAGCAACGTTTAGTAATTGTTTATAGTTTGTTGCTGCATTACCTTCAAATAATTTAGTAATGTAAAAAAGAGATTTATTGTCCTGCCATTTAATTGTATTTTTATCACGTTTTGATTATTTATTTATTAAAGTTTTTTTTTAATTGTATTTTAATACATTACTGATTTACAAATGACAGACAAACAAAAAAAAAGTGTCAAAAAAGGACATAATATATTACATTCTATCACTTTTTTAGGTACAATAATGACATTTTATTACACATTTTTCTTTAAATTCTAAATATCAGGAAAACTATTAAAGTTACACATATGACATACTTATAATTAATTAAAAGGAACTTGATGAGCAATTCAACTAGCACACAATATACAAGCTGTTCCATTTAAAAAACTTAAGAAAAAGCCATTTGAAAAACATCAAAAGTAACTGAGGTTTCCTGTATAGTGTATCTAATATCTTTGAATACTATCATGTACCTATTGACTTTGACTATTGTCTGACGTAGCTTCATGGAAAAATCGGAAAAAATGTCATTTTTACATCGTTTGCAAAAAGATCCGGCACATTTTGGAAGAACAATTGAATATCTCAGGAACTATGAACGCTGTGAAATTATAACATATACGGTTGTATAATAGTATATTATTATATGAGCATATAATGAGGGCTATCATTCACTAAGGTTAAGTTTATGTCACGAGCGTAGCGAGTGGTGTAATTAACCTGAGTGAATAATAGCTTATTATACAGTGTGCCCATTATGTATGGAGTATAGTATATATGTATCTCGGTAAATGTTGACTTTATAAAAAAACATTTTATACAAAAGTTATTTAATATTTTATTTGCCACAATAACACTGCATTCAATTGTTTTTAATTCAGAAAACAAATGAGTAACGAATAACATTTGGATTTTTTTTAAATGGCTATGTGCCCTTTCGTTAGGCTCATTTGAAAGAGACTAGAAAAGTAGTCTCTATCAAAGTGATTTTTTATAAAGTTGATACATATCAAGATATATACTATATTCCATACATAATGGGCACCCTGTATGTGAGTAGAATACTATACTTTGTCCACAACTATTGAAATTGATTCCATAAATTTATGTTTTAAATAAATTTTTGAATAAAGTTTAAACGTCAATGTGACACAAATGCTATATTACTAACTGTAACCAACTTCACAACAATTTGTCAAAATTAAATGTCAATTTTATAGAACGTCGTTTTTTTTTACGAAAATTAATTAATTTATGCTTAAATCATACGAAACAAGCAATTTGTTTAGGTTTTTTTAATCTCAAACCTTTAGAAACTCCAAAAAAATTGAATTATATTGACGTTTTTTGAAATGTTAACGTTTCAAATAATTATTATTAGTCTGTCAAGTTGATTACCAGTGAATAATGATTATTATTCACCGCTATTATTCACTTCGTGAAAAATGACTACCCTTTTGTTTTAGAAAACTCATTCATAAGGTATATATTATAAGGGAGTCGTGGACAAACCCACAAACCCAATTTATTTAAAAATAAATTTATGGAATCAATTTAAATAGTCATGGACAAAGGATAGTATTCTACTCACATATAATGAGCTATATATGTTATATATTATTCACTCAGGTTAATTATGCCATGAATAATAACCCTCATTATATGCTCATATAATAATATACTATTAGTTGTATTCATAATATGATAAAATATACAGGTGTTAATAGTTATTTAACCAACAAGTCTATTAATGTAGGCGATTAATTATCGAGATATTTAATTATTGAGATAATTAATCGCATTTTAATATACGAGTTAGTTACAATATTTTTCCGTTGACCGTCTTTTCAACAAAATAGAGAAAATCCATCGTTGAAAAATCTCCCAATTCTGTCACTGGCAAAATAACCTCACTTTTAATGTGTCATAATTTATTTTTGTAGTCTTACCGAATAGATATAGTGGTCGGTTGGGTCGGTATTACAAATTTCATTGGAGAATATTTATTAAATTGACTACTATTTAGTTCGGTCGGACTTTCTTAAAATCGTTTATTAATAGAAAATCGTTTATTAATAGGTGTCATTAATGAATGATTTTGTATACATTTATAAATCATATAAATACACGGTCGACGGAAAA